ATCGATAGAGATAAGAACAAATCCGGGTTACAAACTAAAACTGAGGGAAACGCATCAAATATAAGAGGTGAACAACGACACAACAAAAACACAACATTAAAATGTAACACACACAGAAACGAACTATAATATAACAATGGCCATTTTCCTGACTTGGTACAGGACATTTTAAGGAAAAAAATCAGGAAATATCTGAAATAATGTTCCAGGTAGACCAATTGTTTTATAATGTGGAGTTCCTCTACATGATATTGGTCATTATATTGATGACATAGTGTCCCTTGTTACAAAAACAAAATGCTTATACACTGCAAGTTTTATAAACATGATTTAGACTTCAAAGTCTCCAGAAAACTGCTATTTAATAACAATAATTGAAGCAAAAAAACCTGTACACTAATCTTCAGTTTGACGAAACTGAACGAGTACTGAATTACCTCGATCCAACTAATTACGAAATTCGAGTCCCATGAACTAAAAAACAATATATTGAAGATTTTTGAAATTATTCTAAAATATAACATATTTACTTTTGCGTCGAACAATCCGAGGGGCCCAATCAGAATTTACTAAATACTGGGAAATGTTTTACAAAGCTTTGAAACAAATTAATACTGATGTGTTCAAGATGTAGATACGATGGCTGGATGATATATTCAGGTTCAACTGACGTAATACACGATCTTTTCGCCTTATATATCTAATAGAATGCATACCCACCTAAATTTTACATACCAATTTTCTCACAAACTGAAATGTAACTTTCTTGTCAGTCGTTTTAATACAACAATTAAGACAAACGCTTCCAAAAGGAAGGTATTTTAGAAATGAAAACGTACATCAAACCTACTGAAACTTTTCAATACTTCACAGAAAAAGCTCATATAAAATAAATGTATTTAAAGGATTTATACAAGGCGCGGTACATAAGAAATACTAGCAGTCTTTCAAAACACGTCTCGTAAAAAAAATACAAGACATGCATTTTTTTTTATTTATTATTGGCTTTGAACTAGCTGTCAGTAACTGAGAGTACTCTGACAGCTGTACTTAGTGTCTTTTTGTTGTTGTTACCTTGCCACGTCCGGTCTGTGTTTTTGATAGCTGTTTTCTTCTTTATATTGAGCTGATGAGTAAAGCCCTTTTCAACTGATTTTTATAGTTTGTTCTTATACTATGTTGTGATGGAACAAGTTAGGGGGAGGGTTGAGCGCTCAAACATGTTTAACTCCGCAACATTCTTTATGTGTCTGTCCCAAGTCAGGAGCCTGTAGTTCAGTAATTGTCGTTGGTTCATGTCTGTCATATTTGTTTGTCGTAAATTGTTTTGTTATAAATTATGCCGTTAGCTTTCTAAATTGAATTGTTTCATATTTTCATGTCGGGGCCTTTTATAGCGGACTATACGGTATGGGGTTTTCTCATTGTCGAAGGCCGTACGGTTGACTATAATTTCTTACATCCACTTCATTTGAGGTTTGGTGGATAGTTGTCTCATTGGCAATCATACCACATCTCCTTATTTTTATACTAAACAGAACTAACTAACATACTAAATCCGCAACATAAACGGGAAAAAAACTAAAAACAAGATTACCAACACTGGGGCTTAATTTCACAAAAACCTGGCTGCACACATCTGTTTCAGAGGTAACCAATTATTGCTAATAAAAGTAGCGGGAACTTACAACTGTTGACTATAAACCTTAAAATAACTAATATGTGAAACACAAACACACAAAACTTCTTATGACTGATGAAGCCGAACTCTGAGATATTTTTTCCTTAAACACGACCGAAACACCAGACCTAATGTTAGGGCTCATGGGTAAGCTAGGGACAGGGAGCAATCATTCATATTTTTCTTATTTACTGATATCAGAAAATAAGGAATAAATAGTAAAACGGCGCCTCATATATGAGTACATCCGAGCCGTTGCTCTACACGTCTTGTGTCAGAACAAACGTTAAGTTTTACTCCAGTGTATAGTGCTTTCTTTTAGGTTTTATGATCACGTTAATCTATAAAAGAACTGTGATTTAACATTATTATGAAAATTCTCTTATTTAGAACGTGTCAGTGTATAGTGCTTCCATTATGGTTACGATGACTGATTTCGGAGGAATATGTTCTATAAGTTGTTATTAAAAGTCTCTTTTGAATAAAACTATTTTTTATACTATTTAAGGAATGACTGTAATATTGTTTCTGTCTATGAAGAAATAACATCAAAAATGTGGTGCACATTACGCGGGTTATTTTAAAGTGTGCACAACATTTTTTATGTTATTTCGAATAGACAGAAAAAATATTACAGTCATTTCTTATAATTTAATTCTAAATTCCATTTTAAACCGGAGTAAACCATAAAAAAAACGTTGATGACGTCACGGTCACATGACAAAATTATGTCTATGAGCTGATAAACAAAACAACGTCAGCCAATCAGAAGACGCGTTACATCCAAAATTAAGTTATTTACTTGTATTATTGGTGCAATTGAAATGTTTAATTTTGGCGCAAATGAAATATGGTTTGTGGCGCAAATGAAATGCCAATTGGCGCAAAAGCAAAGCACCGAATGTAAGCGTTTTATCATTTTAAGGGCATACGATATAGTTTTGATCCCATAATGAAAATTTGATGAACATTTGCAAATAGGCTATTTTTTACCTGATTAAATCAAATATGTAATAAAAAATATACCTTCATGTGCTACTTTTTGAGTAAAAATAGTTCGAAATTTCAGATATTTGCTCAAAATTCGAATTTGTGGACGTATTTTTCCTTCCGACAGAAATGCATAACTTTTTTTGTTTTAAAAGATAAACACAAGCTGTTTTTTGTTAAATTATTTGTAATTTCTGTTTTATATAAGTATCCTATAAATTTATGAAATCTTTTGTTTAGAAGTAACTCAAATTTATCAACTGTTCATGAATGTAGAAAAAAAACGTCATTTTTTGCTGTATATTTATCAAATTTAAAAAAAATTGCATTATTGACTTTTTCGTGAAAATTGGTACAAATAATCTTCATACGTAATCAAACCGAATGTCATTTTAAAAAAGAGGGGTCCATGAACTCGTTTTCAAGTTAAATCAGTTTGAATGATAAAAATTAGTCGAAAAATACATCTTTTCCCGATATGTCAAAGTTTGACGTCGCCAAAATAACATTTTACGTTAGCAACGTCATAACCTCCCCTGTAACTGTATCGTATGCCCTTAAATTGTTATTTTCGAGACGTCAAACTTTTTTTTTTCTTTTTTGGAGGTTAGTAAATATTTCACTGTTATTTAGTTGTTTGCTATATAAATTTAGGGAATTAAAAGGTGTTTTCCAGTAAAGTAATTTTTATTCATATTCACAATAAAATCGTGATATAGATTAAATAAATTGTAGGCAAAGTTTGAAATAATATTAAATTAAATGCTTTAAATAAAAGTCCTTAACTTATAAAAAAAAAGGTATTTAACTTATTCGTTTAGATAACTTTTGAAAATACAATTCTTATTTTGATACTTGAATAAATGTTATAAGTAAACCAATTAAGGGGAGATAACAAATGACATGACTGTTCATTTATGGCGCGTATACTATTGTCGGGTTCTGTATTATTGTTCGATTAATATCGCGGAATATTTGGTGTATAACTATGTTGGAAAAATAATGTAATTTGTATTGTAACTGTTGTAAATATATGATTAGACTGTGAACCAGAATAAAAATGTAGTAAGCAGACTGGATTGTCTTTTAAGGTCCCGTTGACATGCCGAGTCCAAGCTATAGTTCCCAAACAATGTAACATCAATGTGAGCAGTTCCCCGCAAAAGAATTAATTAACAATAACATGAAACAAAGACTACAACACGAATTCCAAAGACGTGACAAAGTTCCCGCATAATATTACAGCACACCATAAGAAGAAATTTTAAGTTGTCCTTCAAATATTACCTATTGGCTTGAAATACTGACCACCAATTCGCTATACTTCATAATACATTATGAAGCCGCCCCCCCCCAAAAAAAAAATCAATGGCCGTCCCCTTACAAATTATAAGACTCTTTTCGTTGGCGATTATAACTTGATCATGTTAAAACACATACATCTGTTTATAGTTGTTGAAGTCTATTCATTGACCTTTTGAATTTACTTAGTTTATTTGTGTCGTTTGGTTGCTGTTGAGTTATTCCCAGAGTATCCTTTTATTAGTAACACGTGGACTTATTCCCAGAGTATCCTTTTATAAATAACACGTGTTTTAGGGTTTGTTCTCTCAAAACGAACACTACATTATTTGTTGTTTGAATATTTTTTATGCTTTTTGTAATTGTAGCGAAAATATTTCTTATACTTCAATCTATTCTGTACTGCTTGTAATTAATGTAACGAAAATATTTCTTACTTTCATTATCGTGTTAGGCAACGTTTTTATTTGGTAGTCTGGGACAATCAATCAAAGTCTTCATAAGTCATTTCCAAAACGAAACCATTAATTGCATATTTAATCATAAAAACAGAAATTTTAATAGCAATGACCTGTCGAGACATAATTACAAAGTGAAAATGCAGTTTGTTCGTATAATTGAATGTTGTGCTGTTACACCACTTACATCACAGTACCAGGTAACGGGAGCATTTTTAACCCCGGTCGCCACATTCTTTATGCACCTGTCTCAAATCAGGATCCTATAATATAGTGGTTGTCGTTTGTTGATGTATATCATATTCATTTTGCGTTTGTTTTATACATAATCAGATCGTAAGTTTTCTCGTTTGAATTTTTTAACATTTTTTTCATTTCATAGCCTTTTATACCTTGCTATGCGGTATGGGTTTTGCTCATTATTAGAGGCCGTACGGTGACCAATATAATTGCTTATATCCACTTCGTTTGGTCTCCGGTGGAAAGTTATCTCATTGGCAAGCATATCATATCTTCTTATTTTTATATATTCACTGCGGTTTTTACGTTCATTTGTACATATCTATAGATCGATTTCACTAGTTTTTAATTCATTAATTGAATCTCTTTAAGTATAAATTTCACATAAATCTTTTCAATTTTCAAAGGCAGTTCAGCTTTAATTTCCCAAAATTCCGAAATACTACCCATTTGCGTACACTTCGCTATAACGCAACCGCTTTGATATTTCATCTACATCAAGATTCACCATTCCCATGAAGATGGCATTGCTTGTCACAGGTGTACGTTCCACCAAATTCTAGTGCTGAAAGCTTTATAATTTGTGAATCAATTTTCTTTAAAGATAAAAACTCCCTTTTAAACACTGTGATGTTAATAATTGCGTCGTAGCTTTCAATGCATGCTTGTCTAAAACCGGTTATTTCAGGACCATACAGGCAGTCGCTAAATGTAGACAAATCTGCTGAAGCTGATAGATGAATTTCATGCAATAAACCGTACACATTTATTTTAAACCATCCAACACAGCCATTATGAGTAGCGGAAAACTTTGCATTCCCAGGGCGATAATTCAAATTGAGATTTTTAGCAATATTACGATATCCAATTAAATATTGTGTGGTTGTAATTTCTCCTAAGGATACTAGTCCTCCTGAGAGAGCAAATGATATATTATCGTGAGAGGAAACACCTTGTGACCATATCCAGCCTTTGGGAAAGGAATTCCCCCAATTTTTCTCCATATGAACAACGCCATTTGTTCCCTCAATTCGTTGTCCTGTTTGTACGTTCAATAGTTCATACCAAATGACACGTGATCTCAGACTAAATACAAACCAGTGAAGTGGAATGAAGGGAAGTTTATCAATCCAGCCTTCGGGTCCTTCTCCGTCAGGTCCCCAAGGTACAGGGGGTCCAATTCTGCCTCTAAAAATGTAATTTCCAAAATCAAAGTGAAATGTTGTAATGTTATTAGTTTGTGTAAATAGACCGAACGGAGTTTGCCATGTGAAATGAGGCGGACTTTTATCATCTGGATTTTTAATAACAGGACCGTTCCGGACTGTCACATTAAGATCCTTTGCCAGACAAACAACGTTGCTAGAGTATAGCTTATATGTATTATTGTTGGTGCAATGACTCCTGTGTAATAACGAAGCCAGAACTTTGGGATAGGAGGAATTTGTTGACGGAATAGACAAGACATGACCAAATAACAATCCATAGCTATTATTTGTACCGAAATCAATTAGTCTCATGTACCAGCCTTCAAAGAAAGGTCCAACAGATGGGTAAACGTGCGGATCAAACTGGTTCGATACAGATACTGACATCAGATTGAAACATATAGCCCAAATTAAAATCTCCATTTTTTTCAGTCAGTTTTCCTATAGTATACTTCTATTACTAACAGGTAATTTCCATGATCTGAAAGAAAATAAAATAATTTTTTTTTCGTTTGCAGAATTATTTTTACAATTTATATATTTTTAAACATTCGAATATTTCTAAACAACCAAAATTCGCAAAGTGGAACCTTGTGTCTCGCTTGCGATTTTTTGCTGCTTGCGGTGTAATGTTGACTGTCAAAAACGTTTAACAACAGACTGAACCTAAACGTTGACGACGCCAACGTCGACGACGGAATGTAGGATCGCTAAGTCTCGATGATATGAGTATGAATTTGTCAGCAATAATATTTTATTGTCAGTGGAGCTAGCTATATAAATCATGCTGGAACGGATTGAGAAGGGGCTTTTGCTTTATATAAAATAGTGCAGCCCTTCTTTCTGATAAAATCCTGGATCCACCAAGGTTATACAGTAGACAACATGTGTAACTTTGGTACTGTTGAAAATAGTAGTAACTCAACTTTAGTAAACATTTATAAAATTGAGAATGGAAATGGGAAATGTGTCAAAGAGACAACAACCCGATCAAAGAGCAGAAAACAGCCCAAGGCCACCAATGGGTTTTCAACACAGCGAGAAAATCCCGCACCCGGAGGCGGGCTTCAGGCGACCCCTAAACAAAAATGTGTACTTGTTCAGTGAAAATGGACGTCACACTAAACTCCGAAACATATAAATGAACTAAAATTAAAAACATACAAGACTAGCAAAGGCCAGAGGCTCCTGACTTGGGACAGGCGCAAAAATGTGGCGGGGTTATAAACATGTTTTGTGAGATCTCAACCCTCCCCCTATACCTCTAGCCAATGTAGAATAAACAAACACACAGCAATACGCACAGTAAAACTCAGTTTAAAAGAAGTCCGAGTCCGATGTCATAAAAGGTAACAGAAGAAACTAAGCAAAATGACGATACATAAATTTACAAAGGACTACTAGCAGTTACTCACATGCCATCTCCCGACCTCAATTAAACTGATTGAAAGATTATGTTTTCATCATATGAAAATCAAGCAAAGCACAATCCCTCCCGTTAGGGGTTTAGTATCATACCATCATAAAATATATGAGAAGAACATAACCCGTATCATGCCAACAACTGGTTTTAGAATAAATGTGTTTATTTCCGATGTAAAGACCATATTGGTGAATCAATATTAATTCCAAAACATGCCATCTTTAATGACCTGACAACAGTATCGTAACTATATCCCTTCTGAATAAGTCTGTTTTAAAGTTTTGTTAGCTTTTGAGGTGAATGACGACATTTTTGTGCTTTTTATAGAATATTACCATAAAAGATTGGATGTGAAATACCTGATCGTATAAGATGTCTGCATGTTGATTTATATTTACGAATGATATCCTTGTACCGATGATAAAATTTAGTAAATGTTTTGACTGGTTTGTGATACCGAAAACCCTGTTGTAATAACTTTTCAGTAACAATATGTTTGTTTTCTCTTATATTTAAATATGGCATGAGAATATCGGTAGCCAGTACTTTTGCACTGTTGACTTATTTCGTAGGTAGATAAAACTTTTGTTCATATGTTTCCTGCAACAAGTTTGGCTCCGTAAAAGGTCTGTTACAAGGCAAAATGTTTGCCCTTTTCCAACACATATATATATACCATCATTTTCCACATTGTCCGCCCTTAATCCCAGTCTAATTGGGCGCCCGCAAACATGTTTAACAACGCCACATTCGTTTGTTTGTTCTAAGTCAGGAGCATGTAATTCAGTGGTGGTCGTTTGTTGCTGTATATCATATTTGTTTTTCGTGTATTGTTCTGCACATAAATATTTGGTCTTCTTGTTTGAATTGTGATTACATTTGTTATCCTCGGGACTTTTTATAGCTTATTTAAATTAATTCAGTAAGACGACCAATGGTGGCACCAGGAAAGGCCTGAGTTGTACACCCATCTATTCCACTAACATATTTAGGTATAGACGCCGAAACAATGGTCGCCCTTTTTTCTAAGAAAATCCCTATAAAATTATAACAAAACATCAGAAATATGTGCCGTCATCCTTTTTGCTATTGAAATCTTATCGTCTAATGAAAATTTTAAATATCTCTTGTAAGCATCGCTTTTCCAATCCCCATATAATTGAATTAATTCAGTAGGTACTTCGGCTTCAAAGGCCCAACTAGCACCGCCTCGCCTAAAACTGTGCGTAGAATATGAAGACGCATCTAGACCAATCTCAGTAATTAACTGTTTCAATATTATCTGAAATTGTCTATAAGTAACAGGAACACATAATTTATTCTTGATAAAACAATAAGCTGGACTCTTATCAGAAGTACAAACTAAAGACTTCATATTCAAAAATGCTTGAACGGGACACAATGGAGAATCTGGTATTGAGACTAGAGGTATCAATAATTCTCTCTCACCAAACTGAATTGTTTTTGACCATTTAACACTTATCAATAATATCGAAAAGGATACTATTTCTGCAAAGCTGCTTATTATGATCAAAAGTAGAAACAGAATCTGGAACCAAATTATATTTTCTAAACATAAGAAAAAAAGCATGTAAAAATAAACATCATATAGTAGCATCATGCGCACTATTCATATCTAGCTTATTATAAATTTCAAGCAAAATGTGAGGAGTAACTGGCAAGGCCTGTTTTAGACAATGTCCCTTAATTCTGCATAAACCTCTCATTACTAATCTCAAATGAAAAGCTTCAAACTGTGGATATTCTAAATCTAACAGTAAATGCAAATATTTTACTGAACTTATATAATTCTTGATAGAGTCAACAGATTTAAAACTTCTACTAAGAAACTGTGCATATAATGTCAAAACCTGAACTGTAGCAGGAACAGGATAAGTTCAGAATATATTCAAAACATAAAATATGATTCTAACTGAGTTTTTTTATTTTTATAAGTACTCTCCGCAAAAGCAAGTTTAGCAGAATCTTTACATTGAAACCGCAGAACCTCTAACTCTGTAAAATAAATTGCAAATTATTAAAAAATGAAAAATATGACTTAAGAACTGATACCTCTTCGTATCTATCTGCTGGAATAGATGAATTAAATAAATCTCTGTATTTATGATTACAGTGCCATCGAGACAAATAGTCAGCAAGTCTATTTTCTACACCTAAAATATGTCTGGCTCGAACTTCAAACTGAAAACTCGTTTGTACAAAACAAAGCTCTCTCAAACAAGTTTGCATAAAAGTATCCTTAGATGAACCTGAATTAATGACCTGAACAGACGCCTCATTATCACAAAAGATCAGAATTTTTTTTCCGTAAATTGTTTTACCCCAAATTTTAACAGCAATTACAATAGCAAATAACTCCAAACAATTAATATGCAATTAATCTTTTGTGATATGAGAAGGAAATACTGCATGAAAATACTGATTTGAAGTAATAGCTCCATCCCCTTCTTAACGAGCATCGCTTGAAAAAATCTCATCTGGAGAAGACCAATCTTCAAGAGACATCATAGAAATACCATTATAACTCGACAGAAACCTATGCCACCAAAGTAAGTCCTTCTGTACCTCCACTGGAATCTTTCTATATATCTTGTGTCCCCTGCCTACGACATTTGAAGGGAATGCACTACGAAGCCAGTTCAACAAACGACTAACAAATAATCTACCGGGTCGTAACACAGGTGGACACAAAATGAAGTGTGCCAAGTATTGACTGTAACTCTCTTAAAGAAGCCTTTTTCTAATTTCAACGTAATATCAAATTCAATAAAATGCTTCGCTGGGGCGCAGCTGGGGCGCAGCTTGATACGATCGCAGAGGTCGAACCCTGAACAGTTGGGGCAAGTATGGACACAACATTCAAGCTTGATACAGCTCTGAATTTGGATTGTTATTAAATATTTGACACAGCATAGGTTTCTGACACAGAAAGAATGTGGTCTAAGAACTTGATTTTTTTTAATTTACCTATTATGGTCCAATGTCCAAAATCAAAATACATGGTTAGATTCAGCATATCAAAGAACCCCATATATTCAATTTTTGTTAAAATCAAACAAAGTTTAATTTTGGACCCCAACTTGGACAAACTTGAAAACTGGGCCCATAATCAAAAAATTAAACACATGTTTAGATTCAGCATATCAAAGAACCCCAAGAATTCAATTTTTGCTAAAATCAAACTAAGTTTAATTTTGGACCCTTTGGACCTTAAAGGGAAACTTCGCAAAAAAATTAAAAATTGATATTATGTTCATTCTGTATAAAAAAGCACAAATTCATAAATATTAAAGTTTTATTCTGCTATATAAGAGATCACCATCGATTTTAAATTTAGAGTATCAATTCTCTGCATGCGGCCATTTTGACATCTTCTCGGTTTAGAAACCACGATATATCTATAAACCACAAAGGACCAAAACCAGCAGTAACCTAACGTAGTCGTAATTGCGTGTCGATATCGTGTCAAGCGTACAGTTGTTTTATCCGACAAGAAAAGCATAAACAGTTTCCCGGGTAACAAAAATGATTATAATAGACATGGTTGTGCAACCTTTCCTAACTAACATGATACGGAAAATGTAATTATTTTTTCTAAATAACTATGGTCTGTCGTATTTACACTGTTTTTTTTACCAAGGATTTGTATTTGTTACTATACAAATCCTTGTTTTTACTAAGTTTTGAAACAAGAAATGTATATGGGAATTAGTTAAAAAGTCAAAGCTCAAAGTCATAAATAAGTGTCCCGTGTATAATTGTTTTCGAAAATCTAATTTGTTCATAATTCTTTTATGTAATAAACTTTTATGTTATAAACCAAGGCTCCGTGTTGAAGACCGTACTTTGACCTATAATGGTTTACTTTTATAAATTGACAATTTGTGACTTGGATGGAGAGTTGTCTCATTAGCACTCATACCACATTTTCTTATATCTAATTATTTAAATAAATTCAGACCTTCCCTTATCTGATCACCAGCGTGGCTAAAGGAATTATTCCCAGAGGTATTGTGAGGTGACACGTCCAGGTATTC